TGCAGCATGCCTGACCTCTGCTTCCCCCACTCCCATGCACACCCCTCACTTCCTCAGGATCATGAGGGAGTTTCTAAATTTTCTATGAATCGGTTTCTAAATTTTTTTTTACCTAATTTTGTGTACTTTAATCTCTTGTGATTCAATTTCCAAGGATGCCAAATCTTTAGTTGGTGAGACTGCTTGTATTGGTCCAAAAGCCTATTTTTCGTGGAGAAAATATTGTCTCACACAAAAGAATTCAAGTAACTGTCAGAGCACAAGAGCTCCAAGGAGCAAAGGGTGGGAAGAGAAACTGAGGGTACATATTCAACATCACACAGCAAATTGGTGGCTGAGGCACAAATAGAGATCTGTCCTCCTGAAAGGCCACGTGGCTTAGGAGCCCCAGACTTGAACCATTGTGCTCCATGTTGTACAAGCGTGGGACAAAGGTGGTCCCTGCCTGGAGCAAGGATGGAGGCACATCTGTTGCTGGAGGACAGAGGATGCCAGTTTTTGTGCCTGTGGCTGGAACACTGGCTGCAGTTGCAGGTCTGCTGTAAATAGTTATCTTAATAAAGAGCCAGTTTAGTTTCAGAAATGTGGAGTCCTCTCATTGTTACCTAGCTCACAGTATGAGACACACTTGGTGTTTGTGGTGCTAAACTGGAAGATGGGAGATGCTGAAGTCCTGGTCCAAGGGTTAGTCCTTGTTCTGCCTGCTGTAGTCTTGGACAAGTTGCTTCACCTTTCTCTGCCTGATGTGTGCTTTAGATGCCTCTCTGGATCCCCACAGCCTTTTCAATTTATGAATCGCCCCACAGGCTTTGCCTGACTGGATCAGATTCAGGATTCATATTGTGCTCAATTCTGCCTCCAGGAGTCAATCTGCTAGTATTCAAAAATGTCTGAACTTGCACTTGAAGGAAATATTGATTTCCCCCTTGCTTGATCTGAATGTTGCCACATTTTACTTGTCTTATTTGACTGTTCCAACCTTGTCCTTTGACTTAACCTAGGAAGGGGGGAAGTGATGTTTTTTACCCCCAAAATATATTAATGGAGAGTGATCACATCCATGTTCACCCTCCCTGTTACCCTTGTCAGGCTGAATAAGCCTGGCTCTTCTAGTCCCCTCTTGTAAGACTAACTCTTGCCTCCCTCGATCATCTTAGCAGTCCCTTTCTGCAGCTGGACCAGTTCAAGTTCTGACAGGTGTCCTACTAGATGTCTTGAACTGCACATGCTTTTCCATGCCAAGTTTCACCAGGTTCTGGTAAATAGGCTATTCCCCTGTCTCTGCCGGTGGCTTCCAGTCATCCTGGGATTAGCTAATACGTCAAGTTTTCTCCCCAGTTGTTTTCAAATGCTGAGCTCGCAGTGGTCATCTGTGCTATCGGTCTTTAAGCAAAGCAGCTGAATTAGGGTGAGCATCTGGGTGCCCCAGTGTCTGGATACTGTGTTACGAATAGGTGACCTGATTTCAGCCCCACTTCTCTCACTGCTCTTCTGAATGACCCTGGATATAGTAATTTGCCTTTTTGTGAAACCAGGGCTGATGATCAAGGGCTTTGACCTTGATAAGGGGAAGGCCTGAAAGTGGTTGTTCTTAACAAAGCTCACAGATCCTGTACAAGGGGAGAAGCCCAGTGCTGTCATGGTCCTGACTAGCTCACATTGTCAGCCCACTACTATGAGACTTGGGCTCTCCAGCAGAACTACGGAGTCCTTTTAGTTTCATGTTTGAGTTTTGACATCTCTGAACTTTTTAACCCACAGCTTTCATTAAAATGAATGGGTTACAGCAGGGATGTCAAACTCACCCCTTGGGAAGGATCTGGAGCCCAGGGCTCCTTGTGGTCTGGATCTGGATCCACCTCCAGCAATGGGGCAAGTGGTGGTAGCATGGAGGTGAATGCAGTCATCACCCCACCCCACCCAAATTAATCCCTACTGGGGCACTGTACCATGGATTATGGTGACCTCTGCTTGCCCTGTCCCTGAACTCTAAACCCCTCCATGAGCCCACAGGCCAGATGTTTGATGGTCCCAAATCAAAGGGTTTTGGAATGACAAGCATACACATAATGTGTGGTTCACTTGGCCCCATGATAGAATTTTGCCAAAAAGAACGAGAGCGACAGAGCGACATTGCAATATTTTCAAAGTCTTTCTTGGGGGGTGGTGAGGAAAAAAAACTCCATACTAAAAAAAAAGGAAAATAACCTGAAAACTGCTGACTAAAACGTGATGCTTTGCACAAAACTGTCATAGTGTGAAAGCAACCCTCTTTTTTTTCCTCCATTAAAATTCTTGTGTCCCATTCTCTATCCATCTCAGTAGAGGCTGGGACCAAATGCCCTGGTCAGCTCCATGCAATGAACACGGCAAGGTTCCTGTTGGTAAAACATAGCTGGTCAAAAGTAAGTAGCAAGGTCTGAGCAGGTGGGTGTGGGGAGCACCCAGCCCATAGAAGCATGGACTTACCAGGCAGCAGGGGCAACCTGGGGCCAAGTGTCAGGATGCAATTTCCAAGAATAGCCTTTCTTCCTTCTCCATCAGAGCAGGCCCCTTTCTTCAGTATGTCAACCACCTTCCACGGGCAGCGTTGCAGAGGGCTGCATCCTTTGCAGACAAAATCAGCGCATACCACCAAAACACTGCCTACAGAGAGTCTGGTAGTACCCTGTACTGTGCTTTATCCCCATCCGTTTGCCACAGGTTGCTCCTGTTGTGAGTGCTTTCCACTCATTGTGCATGGGTGTTAGCAATAACAAAAGTGTGTGTGTGTTGAGGGGGGCAATCAGGCCCTGAGATGGGCTGGTGTGGAATGAGCTCATCCAGTACAAGGGTTCTTGTTAGATTCGAGGTTGGCAAGATTTTTGGGCAGAGTGCCAAAAACCCATGCAACCTCAACTTTTAGGATGTTGGCATGGTGGGGCAGATGGTGGGGGAGCAGCAAGGGGCCCACTCCTTGTTGTGGCAGCATAGCTCTGGCCCTTTTCCCACCATCCTCCCCAAGGCGTGTGCCAAGCAAAACGCTTTCATGTGCCACACTAGCACCTGGGCTGGGGGGTTGCCTGCCCCTGCATTAGACAGATGCAGGCAGAGAGGGGAGAATTAACTCTGAACTCCTGTGTACACAAGCTGGGAAATGTCATGCAGCGACTCCTGCAGCAGCCCAGAACTGCTGGTGAAACAAGAACAAGACCCTCTGAGGTCTTTCTGGGGCGGGGTGGGGAAGGGAGTAGGGTCCTACTGCTGGGTAGGACCTATCCTGCACAGCAGGGCTTCTCTGCCTCCTTGCTAGCTGCAGCAATGGGCAGAAAGGCAAGCTGCGTTTGAGGAAGTACCCTGCAGCTTAGGGAGAGGCTGCTTTATTGGAAACCTGTGCCAGGCGGCTGACAACCTGTTTACAGAAGTAGTTAGCAGTCTTAGTCTGCAGTCAGGCAGAAGGCAGGGTAAACATGCACCTTTATAGGCTAACTATATAGGATACATGCAGGGAGAGCACAAGCTTTCATGAACCCAGTTTCATTTCATCAGGTGCAGTGAAAGGATAGCACAGAGCAGAGTCTGAAGTGGGGAGGTTAGAATATAACAGGAAAGCAGGAGGAAGAGGGGGAAGGGGAGATAGGTGGGACTAGGTGTTTGGCATCCCATTGTGCCACCTGGTGGCAAGAATGAGACCAGGCGCATATATTTGCTGTGAGCCACCTCCACAATTATCCTGTGCTCTGGCCCTCTGGGTGCACGAGCCCCGGAGCCCAGCTAAAGTGAGCTCTGAAGCACACGCCTTGGCCCAGGCTGTGCAAAGCTGAGCAAGCAGCTGTTGCACTGCACTAACCTTTTACCCTTCCTGGATTGTGAAAGCAGAGTGTAATTCAGTGCAACTCCTTTGGAGGAGGGAAGGTTGCAAAGGTGAAGAAGGCAAAGACCAACTGTGGGACGAGGGAGGATCTTTGTTTAGAAACTGGGTAAGGAACCGAAATTCATAAGTTTGGCAGGCAGGCCTGCTGGCTGTTCACCAAGACATTAATGGAGACCCAGAGAGCACCCTTATGAACAAAAACGGGAGGAGGGAAGGCAACAATCTCTTTGGTTTCTAGTGTTGCAGAGGGCAGTTGGCAAACAGTTCTGTCTCAGTAGCCAGAGTCACTTTTAAGCTTGGGTTTTGCATAATTACTGGACCTGGCGACTTGGGATCTGGCTGTGGTTTGTTCGTATTACTCGTGTGGAATAAGGAGCTGAAGACAGAATAGCAACCAGAGGGCATGCTAGGCACTCTTCTTCGCAGCAGAGTAGGTCTCTGAACACTTCACAACTCCCATTATTGAGCAACACCCCATACCCACAAATGGCTGGAGACAGACCTTTTCTGTTATAACCTCCAGCCTCCTTTGCCAAGTGGCTCCCTCATCAAGTGACAAAAGGCACCGGCTGACATGCTGCTTGGTTATTACCCTGCGGGAGTTCAGCCTAGGAAAACTAATTGGCCTGGAGCAGTAGTCATCCTTGTCTGAGTGGGTTTCTTTGTGCATAGACGGCCATCAAGGGTTGACAGTCCTCCATGAGTAGCCCCAAGTCGCTGCCCCTGGGAACTTTCAGCCCAATGCGAAGGTAAGAAAACACCAGAGAAGGGAGTTTCACATGACACGGCTTTTTGGAAATAGTGGCCATCTTCCCTACAAACCTAATGGGAATACTGAGAGATTTTAGTTCTTTTTACTATTGGCACCTGTCTGCCAGTGAGATAGGGGCCATCTTTACCGAGGGTGCACACACCTTCATGTTCACTGGGCATTGTGAATCATGGTTGTAAGTTATGGACCATGGCAGCCATTAGTATTAAAGGAAATCATTAATATGATGGGGGAAGTGGGGAAATTGATCATAACTGCTTAACTACAATTCAGTTTGTTATTATAAGGCATGTTTGTCACAAGCATTAAATTAATTTTAACTGCACAGAGATGTGAAAGGATCCAAATTAGCCTTTATTTTTATTTTTTTGGTAAAAGTGGGTAAGAAAACAGGTAAGAAACTAAAGAAAATATGCAGAAGTCCCATGTTTAATTAATTCTAACACAGAGACTAGTTAACAGATATACTTTAAAAATCCCCAGAAATGCAATCTTAGTCCATGGATTGGGGAACATGTGCTGCATTCTCCATACAAAACAGGTACTACCGCACCTTCATTATCATAATTAATGATTTGGACGAGGGGATTGGACAGCTAGGTGGCAAAATTGGTGGGTGACATGAAATGATCCTGGTTGTACAGACAGTTATGCAAATCCCATGCTATCAAGCTGGGAGGGCTGTGTAATACTTGCAATACACATCTGACAAAATGCTGGACGCTACAGAGTTGGTAATTCCCTACTCCAAGTGAGTTTCTCATTATCTTTTTCTAATCCCTCCGCCGCCACAACATGCTCTGGTATGTTCAGTTCCTGCTCCAAAGTTCCTATCTTGGTTATAAGCTTTGCTAAGGATACTCTGGGTAATCCTGGTCATTCTACCTCATGAAGGAAAGAGAAGAGATGTAGAGACAAGTGAAAAGCAAGGTGAGGAGCAAAGCTTCCATGTGATAAGAGACTGAAAAGATCATAACTGTTTTACCTTAAAGAGCAGCCAGCTAAAAGGAGGCATGATAAAAGGATGCAAACCCACCATTGGAATATCAGTACAGAACAGCTACCCTGGGAGTATCCAGTCAAGCTTCCTCAAAGAACAATGACAGCAAATGGCAGCTAAGGCAAAGAAAATACATTGTTGCCCGATGCCCAGCTGCAGCAGCTCATTGCCACATTATGGCCAGTCATGAGTTCATCGTTCCCAGCCCAATTAATCTTCGGTTCTTTGCTCAGCTTCAACAAGAGGGATGGGTGGTGCCCCTGTCCCTGAAGAGCCAGTGTGCTGGTTAGGCAGACAAGGTCCTTTGGGTGAATGTGATATCTTTTATTAAACCAAGACCACACACCAGCTGCAGAGGCTTCCTCAGCCTGACAAAGGGGTTTTAAACCCGAAAGCTTGCTAAACATTTTTTCCAACTATTTCAGCTGGTCTTATAAAAGAGATTAGATTCACCCAAAGAACCTTGTCTGCCTATGTCCTTGACCAACACGGCTACAACCTACACCCCAGTATACTGGCTAGGGCGCTCTTCTGGGTTATGATTAACCCTCTCAGGCTGAGGAGGACCTAGATCTAGCCCAGGCCTCCCTCTTTCTGGAAGAGTGTTCCTGCCACTCATCTAGTATATATAACGTGGGTAATGGCACCACCTCCTCTAGCCCTATTTCAAAAAGAAAATGGCTTTTTCACCATCCTGCCCATATGTGTTGTGTCTGCTATGAACTAGTGTACTAGACCGGGCCCCACAGAGGACTTAGCCAATGTTGTTGGCTAGCGGTGGGATGCCAGTCGGGCTTAGGCAGAACAAAGTGCTAAACTACTTAGTTGAGGGCAGCTCTGGGCATGTGCAGAGCTCCCTGGGGAGTTTTAACATCGAACACAGAGGCATCTAGTGAGTTAAGGCGAACCCAGGCTGAGGTGGCAGCTGAGAAGGGTGTGGCTTGGTTTGTAATGTTGGATTTAAGCAATTTAATTCCACCTCATTCTGTATTAGGCCTCTAAACCCTTAATAAGATCCAGCTCAAAACATTTCAAAAGGAACGGAAACCTTCATTGTTCATTGTAAGCCAACTTCCAACCATCTGCTATTTGGACAAAATGTCATTTATGTGCTGGCCAGTGTTGAAGAGGAGCTTCTGCAAAGCTAAAGAGAGTCCTCATCTTCTTCAGGGTGGTGTTTCCATGATCTCATGTTTCCTGGAGCAAATGCAAGCGCTGAGACTTGGGCCTGGAGTGTGCTGCTGAGAGAAACAGTATATATAAGGCAGGAAGTGGTCCGTAGGGAGTGAGGATGGCTATGACTTTGGTTTCCCCAGGGACCTTTACCGTCTTAACGGGAACAACAATGCAGTCCTTCCCCAGGGCTGCATCACCTGGAGTACTACAGTTCAAATGCTGGGTTCAACAGCCTTTGCAGTGCATCTAGAGCAGGGGTGGGCAAAATGCAGCCCGGGGGCTGGATGCAGCCCGCCAGGCCATTCTATCTGGCCCACAGGGCCCCCCCCAAAATTAAGAAAATTAATATTTATCTGCCCCTGGCTGCCTGTCATGTGGCCCTCAATGGCTTGCCAAAACTCAGTAAGCAGTCCTCCACCCGAAATAATTGCCCGCTGCTGATCTAGAGGAGCCCGAGCTCTTGGGGACCCCATTCATGTCACTATCAGTCATAGCCAGTGAGTTGTACCTTGCTGTCATCCACTGAATACCACTATTAGTATTATCTGGTCCCTTGGCAAGGTTTGAAGTTCGTGTGTATAAGCAACGAAGGTGGGAAAATTGCTTGTTTTTTCTGGGCCTCACTTCTCCATCTGTAAAATGGGGGTAAAAACACTGTCTAGCCCCAGAGAGGTGTTCAGAAGGTAAGCTCTCTTAAAGCAGAGATTCAGGTTGGAGCCGGGTTGGTCTGCAGGCAAAAGTAATCATCTTTTATTAGACCAACTAGATAGTTGCAAAAAGTGCTACAGTACTGGGGGGGGGGGGCTAGATAGACTCTCAGTTCAATTATGGGACTCTAAAGTGCCTTTTCTTGTTTAATTGGGATTTTCCTGCTTGTCTAGCCATGTCGACTAATTTCTCATGCCTCTGCCGCTGTCTGGGGCTGTATCCCAGTGTGCCCCTATGGAGAGAAAGCAGCTGACCAACAGCACTCTCAGCCCACATACTAATCATTGCTCTGTCAGGTTGGAGTCTGTTCAGTTTTACTCCTAACACACATAAGCACACCAGCTAGGAATGCTAACAAGCCAGAGCACACCGTGAGGATAATGGGCTAGGCAGCTCTCAGCCTAAGGATCTGGGAGTCCATTTTGTTTGAAGGGAGAGAAACTTGAAGAACAAACGCTGGCACATTGGACCCTTTTGTCTAACCCACAATATTTGCAGGTAACTGTAAAATGATCCAGGGTGGAGAGCAGTCTCCAATTTTTTTTTTCTTCTACAGGGAAAGGCTCAGTCTGGTAGCTGCTCTGAATTGTTCTTTCTGGGGCTGTCTGGGAGACAATACTTTAAGAAACTTTACAACTTAGATTCAGCCTTTTAAAGAAGAAACCAATTCAGAAAACAAACAGCTAACACTAAGCCGTGTTTCTCACTCTGTGAACAGTTTGGGAACAGGGACGATGTTCCAGATCTGTATTTAATCCTATTAAAAAAATCAGCTATTCAAAGGGCAGATTTTTGTTCTACAGACTGCTTTTTTTCCTCCTCTGAGTTGCTTGAGAAGCCATGGTGAAATCAAAATTCCTCAGCAATAAGTGATCGATTCCAGTTGCAAAAAGGCGAGGCTGATTTCTCTTTTTCCTTTCTTTTCTTTCTGGGCACTTTTATTCCTCTAGGTCTCTGCTAGCATAAGTTTATGGCAAGGTATTACTGATAGTATTTTCTCCAGACTTAGGCAATTGCATTTTGTTGATGGGGAAGTGGGTTTATATCTAGAATTAAACTGAATTATGCCAAAGGCAATGTGTAAACTTACAATGTCAGAGATCCTTTCAAATCACAAGGGAAGAACAGTGTTGATGGGCCAGATGCTTATATAAACTACTGCAGTTACACTGTGGATTTGCTTCTAGGAAATTGGCTACAACAAAACACCAGTATGGTTGATTGCTGGGTTTGTTGGTGGAGGATATCTAGAAAATTCAAATGTGTAATGTAGTTTGGATTTGTTTAGCAGCTGGGGTCCAATCTTGGAAACCCAGGAGTAAATTTATGCACGTGAATAACCCCCCTTTTGCTTGCAGGCTCAGGTCTGAAAGAAACATACTGTCCTGGATTATTCTCTGCAGCTTTTTATCAGGACTGCAGGCAAAAAACATATCAATAAGATTGTTGTACTGTCTTAAATGGAATATCATAAAAGTGGATTTAGACACCCTAAAACTACACTGATGCACATTATGAGACAGCATTCATGTGAGTTAGGGAACAGTGCAAGTTTCTTCTGCAGCGGCAGTGCCATAATACTCCTCCCATTGTACAGTAATGTGGATTACAGTTCAAGTGCACAGTCCTAGGCAATGCAGTATGGATCCATGCAGAAAATTATGTTTGGGAAAAGTTAAAAGTTACTTATTTCAGCACCTGGGGCATAAAATACTAAGGTTGAGCACTCTCATTATGGGTTATGCTATAGCACTGTAGATACTCTATTGAGATCAGAGCCTAGTTGTGCTAGGTGCTGTACAAATACATAGCAAGGGAGAGTATCATCCCTGTGGTAAATAGACAAAGAAGAGGAGGGAAAGCAGAAGCACAGCAAGGGGGAGGTGACTGGTCTAAGGCTGTGAAATAGAGCCAAGAGAAAAAACAGCTTTCCTGGGTCCTGGCAGAGTCCCCTCTTCACTGGACCCACCAGGCTGTTACGCTCCAGAATGTGATTGTGGCAAATGTTGCCTTTAATGGCTTGCAGATTTAACTTCACTCATGTGAGTAGCCCCCTCTGAAGCCCCTCTGACCTTAATCACCAGGCTATAAGGAAAAATAGAAGGATTGTGTGGGGTTTGAAGGAGCTCTGCAGTCTTTCATTCCAGATCTGGCTTTTGTGTTCAAATCTGCCTCTAAAGAGGGTTGTCTCTGCTCCACCACTTTTCCATCAGCTTGCATCGCAAGTACAGGGCCAAGTGCCACTTCTGAAATGCTTTCTCTGATTCTTTTTTAAAGTAAAAATAATAATTAATATATGAAATGTTAACTAAATTTTTTAACGCTTCAGTGGGAACAACGTAGTCTGGGAAATTACAGGCCCACGTGTGAAAGTTTGAAGCAAATGCAAATGCGGAAATGGGAACTAATTTTGCTACAGAAAAGCTATTGTGGACTGCTGCTCTTACTGAAACACCACTGTGGCTGGACTGTTAGTCCCCGGGGGAGCTCACTGACATTGCAGGGCTGTGCTCTGGAGGAAGCAAGGCAGCATTACCAGTCACAGGAGGTGAAAATCATGAGCCAGACCTCAGGGAATCATGAGACTGGCTTAAAAATCATGAGATTTTTAAAAGAACTGGTGGGGGGAGGGGATTGTTAGCTGCTGGTGCTGGAAGCAAGATTTTGCTTGGTGATATCTTTCACTTGACCAACTGTATAGCTGGGGGAGATGCTAGACAAGCCGGAGGGTTCAAAATACCTCTCCTCAAATCTGGGAAAGAAGCAGGTATAGCCGAAGCTAAATGCCATGACTTTGGTTTCACTCCATTACATCCCTTGAAGACTGGGAAGAGGGGGGTTAGCCTGTGGGACAAAGAGTTGTTATCAGAAATAACTACAGACCAAGTCAAGAGCAATTGAAATAACTCCACCTTGTTACATAAAAGAATAAGACCATTTGACAGAGAAGAGGGTCTTTATAATCTGGGGAGTACAGAGAGGTTAGCACAAGGAACGGGCAAATTGTAACGAGCTGTGAAACCGTTATCTGTGTGAAGTCCCCAGATTTCAGTGTTCAGCAAAGTTATGAGTTTTTCGGGCATCATTTTTTCAAGATCTTTCCCACAACCCACAGACCTCCTTGCATTCATAGAGGCTTCTCCAGCCATCGGGGTTTAAACAAAATTCCAAGCACGGAGAGACTGGTAACGAGAACGGGCAGTGCCATAGGGCGACAGTCATGTCTCTCTTGAAATGTGGTGCCCCGGACTGGGCATCAGTGCCATAGGGCGAAAATGGGTCCTGCAAGTGAAGAGCAAGCAGGCTTCGAGCCCTTCCCAGAGGTGGGCCTCACTAAACAGAGGGAGGCTCTTGCAGACAGATAAAGTGCTGCGTTTCCTCTCTGAGCAGCCCCTTCCCCCACACACAGGCCTGGCTCCTTTCAGCAAAGATGGCAGATTTGGGGGAGGAGTGGAGAATCTTAAATTACAGAAACCGGAGCTGAAAGAGGCCTCAGGAGCGCATCCTATCCAACCCCCCTGCTCAGGGCAGTATCAGCCTTGCCTCAACTATGCCAGTCGAGCGTCTGTCTAACCCACCCTTAAAAGCTTCCAGCCTCTAGCCAGTCTGTGCCAGCGCTTGCCCACCCGCAGTCAGAAAGTTCTCCCTAACATCCACTTTATTTTTCCCTATCTCCATTTCAAATTCATTTCTTCTTGCCCTGCCCCCTGTGGACACAGAATAGTTTATCGCCCTCCTCTTCCTGACAACCCTTTCTGTTTTCACATCTCCCGTCCGTCTTCACTTTTCCATACTAAATAAACCTAGTTCTTCCAACCTCTCCTCATATATTGTGTTCCCCGGGCCCCTAATTAGTTGTGTTCCTCTCCTCTGGACTCTTTCTAGCATGGGCATGTCTCTCTTGAAATGTGGTGCCCCGGACTGGGCACCGGTGAGACAGTGCGTGGAAGAATCACTCCCCGTGACTTGCCTACGACAGAGCTCCAGCTTCCCGGGGAGTGCCCAGCCCAGGGTGTTTGCTGTAGGTGGGGATAAAGGTCGTGCAGAGCTCCGAGTGTTTGCTGGGCGTCCCCAATCCAGGACCAGCACGGCAATCCTGGCTGCTCATGCGCTGCGAGTGCTCTCTGGCAGGCAGGTAGGAAGCACCACAGCTTTATTTCTCTTTAAATGGCTTGCCTTCCTCCTGCCCCCTCCTGCACAGCTGCATGACAGACCTGTTTGACTGCCATGGGAAGCTGCTCTGCTGTGAGGCACTGAGGTTTCAAGCCAGGCTCCCTGTGCTTTGGCTACACTCCCGGTACAGCACCTGAAGGAGCATGGTGTGCTATGGGCCTGGATGGGGTTGCTGCATCGCTGCGCAGTTTGAATGCCCCATGCACTTTGGGTCCCAGTGCACCTTGGCCATGGGCTAGGCCTGGGCATCCCCTGGGTCCCTGTGCCTCCTGGTTTGGGCATCTCTGTGCTTGTGGGTCTGGCCTGGTTCTGGGTGTCCTGTGCCCTGAGCAGTGACCTGCCCTTGGCTTGTGCCCCACTCCCCAGCACACACTCAGAATCCCAGTTCCTAGCTCATCCTCCTTGGCTGATCAACCAGTGTCCATGCTCTTGACCACGCTCGTCTCCTCAAGAGATCTTGTCCTTTAATGGCTCCGGCCTCTACTAGTTCCCATGCTTCCTCTCCACGCTCCTCCTCAGCATCCCCCCCTGCAGCATTTTCTTGAGTCCCGCAGGGCTCCCCCTCTCCTGTTCCTGTAAGCCTCGTCTCATCTGCCAGCACACACACGCAGCTACCCTCTTTGTGCTGGTGACTCACAGACCTACCTCTCTGCTGCAGACCTGTCTCCTTCCGTCTAGACCAAACTCTCAGCCTGACCTGGACAACTCCACGTGGGTGTATAGCCAGCATGTGGCTAAAACAGAGCTCTGGATCACTCCACCAGCTGCCCATGACCACTCTGCCTGTCACTTGGGCCCTTAACATGCATCCTCTTTGACTTGCACCTCTGTCTCTAGGTGCTGACACCCTGGCTATGTCTGATTTCACAGAGTCTTCCTGCACAAATCGCTAATGATTCAGCCTTTCCTCTCCTTCCACCAGTGAAAACTGTCACCCTGGCTCTCACCATCTGTCATCTCAGTTGCTGTAGTGTCCTGACAGACAAAGCCTTGGCTGGGATGATATGATTGGGAATGGTCCTGTTTGGAGTAGGGGGTTGGACTGGATGACCTCCTGAGGTCCCTTCCAACCCTTTTGTTTTTTATGATTCTGTGATTCTCTCCAGCTTTGATACATGCAGCACTCCCTGCTCACTCCCATGCAACACACTGCTGCAGAGACCATTCCAGCTGATTATCTGGACTGGCTCATGCCTCCCTCTGCACCCTCCACAGGCACCCCCTTCTCTCTCACCTCAGATGTGAACCGCTGGTCTTCTCTGTCAGAGATCTCCATGACCTGCCCCAGCATCTATCATTTGCTACTGAAACATTAGCTCCCCACATCTGCTCAAACCTAATGGGATCTAACAAGTGGGTCACTAGCATCGTTCGCTTGTTAGATCTTCACACAAACACCTCTCCCTTTCCTGCTGCCCCTTATGCTTGGGGGGAGCTGCCCATAAACAACCATGCAAGTAATGCATTATTCTTCCTCAGAGCCCTCTTTAAAGCACATCTTTTCCATGATGACTCAAAAAGATTTGACACCATGAGACTGTCACTGTGCTGAGAGCCCTGCTTAAAGTTTCCTTGTGTTCCTGTCCGTCTGCTCCATCCACCTGTGCTCTCTTATCTTGGACCAGCAGTGCTCAAGCTTTGGGTCCCGTGAGCTGGATGTGTGGTGCAGGGCTGGTCCATGGCCACTGCTGCCCGGTCTGTGTGCACCTGGATTGGCCCCATTCTCCTTCTGCCTGGGTCTGCATAGTCACATTGGGCCCCACATGTTGGGATCAGGGCCCGGTGCCCAATCTAGCACGCTCTCTGGCCCATGAGCAGCCACTATGCCTCCACTGCCAAACTTCTGGGCTTGTGGGGAGCCTTGGGGGTCAGATAAATACAGCTCCACAGACAATATCTGGCCTGCAAGCCAGGGGTTGAGTACCCTTGTTTTAGACTGCAAACTCTGTGTGGCAGGAACCTGTGTTTTGTGTTGTGTTTGTACAGCACCAAGCGCAGAAGGACTGTGGCCCATGACTGGCGTTCCTAAGCACGGCTGCCCTACAAATAATAACAACAACAACAACAATACCACAAGGCATCCTAAAAGTAGAGCAGGCCTTAGTCATTCCTTTGAACATACAACTGTCCTTCTACATAGATAACAGGCTGCAGTGCTTTGGGAACAGTACAGGATCCCAATGCTGCTGGGCAGAGTTAAGGTTATGGTATGACTCTTGTATGAATGCATGTGTATCAATGACTTGCTCTGGAATGGTAAGGCTGATTTTCCTGGCTCTGTAACTCTTTAAATCACTAATATTTTGAAGAGGTAATAGACATCCAAATGCTTGATTGGTGCCTGCAACCATTTATTATTTGTGACAAGCAGTGATGTCTAGTGGGTAGGGTATTTTCCCATGAGACAAGAGACCCCACACCCAGCTCTGCTGTTGTCCTGTCGAGTGGCCTTGAGCAGGTCACTATCTTTTTTTCCCCGCCCCTCTCTATATTCTGTCTTGTCTATTAAGATAATATGGTCTTTGCAACAGGGATGGTCTCACAGGGTCTGTACAGCACCTACCATGCTGAGGCTCTGATTTTGGCTGGGGTCTCTAGGTGCTACTTCTAATGTAAGCAATAAACCTTTGTGATGGGGAAACAACTGTACTATTTGTGTGTTTCTGGGCTTGCTGCTATTTGGTAAGGTTCAGCTCCTGGGCAGATGCTCCTGTCTGTCTGTGTACTTCAGCCTGGCTCATCAGAGCTGCCTAAATGTTTCAAATTTTGTTGTTTCTTTGAAGTTTGGAATTTGAAATGGGAAACGTGTGGCAGGGCCCCTCCTTTCCCTGCTTGCACATAGCCCAAGATGGAGCCTATGAAATCCTGAAGCTAGAAATCTCACATTTTGAAACTGGGAAGAAATTATGGAACAGTATTCTCCAACCTGCTTGTGAACTGATTTTCCTTTTTATTTCCCCCTGACTGCTTTCTCTCCCCTGCCCCTCTCTTTTGTGGACTATTTTGTGTTGCGCTGGGCCATCAAGGGGGCACTCTGCAAAGTGGAAGATGGATACCTAGTCCTAACTGTGTAACCACATGAGGGGTATAGGGGAGAAGGGAGGGGTTTCAGTCTCTGGGGATATGGGAATTGTGTGGGCGGGGGAGGGTGGAGAGGGGGTGTACTTTTTCACTTTCATCTTTTTTTTTTTATATATATAATAAAGGCTTGAAAAGTTAAACAAAAAAAGTCCTTCTCCCCCCACTCCACACCTTTTGCATTTGTTTCTGCAAAGTTTCCCTGATCATGTCCAGGGCTGTAATTTTTTCTCACATTCACTGTTTGGGCTTTCACTCTGTGTAACTGCATTCCAGCTTAAGCATTATTTTTCTAAACTGACCTGTGGGATGGAAATGCACCTCTGACTGCAGCCTGCCGTGCTGCTGAGAAGCCATGGAGACTGTTGTCATCGTTGCCATCGGCGTGCTTGCTACTATTTTCCTGGCTTCATTTGTGGCATTGGTGGTGGTGTGTAGACAGCGGTACTGCCGGCCCAAGGACCTCCTGCACCATTATGACACAAAGTGAGTATCCAGCCCCTTCTCCTCTGGCAGATCACTGCTAGAGAGGAGAGAAAGAATTAGGGCAGGGAATGGGGTAAAGGGAGGAGTGTGTGAGTGCTGGTAGAAGTGAGTCTGGAGAGCTCCTATAGAGACCATGAGGAACAATTCGGGTCAGTCTTTCAAGCCTGCCTGAGTCATTGGGGTCAAGTGTATACTGCTTCCCCACTGAGCACAGCACCACTGTGAAAAAACAAGCCCTTTCCCCTCACCCCTGGACCAGACCCCAGCAATTAGGCAGAGCAAAGGGCCTGCATGTGTGCCCCTGTGCTGCTCTCAGGCTTCCCTGAAACAAGAAGCCTGGTTGCAATGCTGAACCATGTGCTCAGGACTGCTCTATGCCCTCTACTTGGCCTTGGCAGGGACTTCGTATAGACATGGCTGGCAAGTCATTGCTTTCTGAAGGCTGTGATCCAACATGGCAGATGAGAATCAGTTCATGGCAGATGGCTGAAAATGAAATAGCCAAAGAGCTAAGGCAGAAATACAGCCAGGAGCAATATCTACATTAGGAAGTGGCACTGCTTTCACCACACCCAGCAGAGTTAAAACACAACACCTTGCTAGTGTAGAGTAGTAGATGAAAGAGCTTCACTGTGTGGGGAAAGGAGCAGACCCTTTTATAAGGGCCCTTTTTACTGGGGCAAAGGTAAACTGGCATGACAACTTTATCTTGAAAATCACTAGGATGAAGGCACCTAACTCATTTAGGCTTCCTTGAAACCCCAGGCTACATGGCTTCTCCGCATTTCCTTTTTCCCCCCAGTGGAGATGCAATATGGTTCTAGAGAATGAGAAGATCAAACGGGATGTGAGGAACATTAGTCATAGCATCTAACACACAACTCAAAGCATCAGAGATCGGAGCATGGGGCTCTGGTCCAAAACCTGAGATAGAAGAGAAGAGAACGGAAGTGACAAGTGTCCAAGAGAATATCTGCAGGTTGGGCACCTCTGAGAGATCTTGTCTGGAGAGTTCAGAGGTGGCATTAAATGCACCTTGGGAGAAGGAGTGTAAGTCCGCTGCTTAGCCCTATCATATCGCTCATGGTTTGTTACAACATCAGCAGTTCAGCCAAAGAAGACTCAATAACTCTATGGTTTTATTGAACAAGATACCAGTGGGGAGGGAAGCCAGAAGGATTCAATGACAGTGCCTCAAACGTTTCAAATAGAGAATTAAACACAGAGCTTGGAGGTCCAGATTCTTCACACCCTTAGGACATCGTGTATATCAGGAGAGGCAGTCCTCTGACACACAGGACCCTGGGAGGTATCTTGGGCAAAGCACCCAGGAAGTCCAGCACCCTTAGTCACTAGTTGCTTTTCTGAACATCTTGGCCATAACCACTAAAAATAAAGGATTCTGGCAGAACACGCTTGGTGACAACTTCTCCAAGTACAAGCATGACTTAGGAGCCTAATTCCTATTTTCAAAGTGACTTAGTCATTTAGGATTGCATTTTTCAAGTCATTTAGACATCCAACTCACTTTGAATCAGTGAGACTCAGTCACTCAAGTGCCAGATTTTTAAATGTACTTAGGGAGTTACTCGATTGGTTCCCATTGGGTGTTCCTGGGCTGGATGTGGCCCATGGGACCATGTCATGTGGCCTACGGAGCAGGTAGAGGGGCCAGGAATTTTGGCGGTGGGGCAAGTGGCTGGAGCCATGACACCAAAATCCAGGGCACAGAGCTCTATTCTTGACACACATTGGTGGCAGGGAGTGAGCAATGGCTGTGCTTAACGCCCTGCAGTTGCCCCTTGTCCTGCCACTGCTGAGACTGGATCTGACCACAAGAAGCCCTGTGGTCTAGGATGTGGTCCACAAGGGGTGGGGTGTGTTTGACTTCCCTGCTCTGAAATATCCTACTGGGGGGGCCTAGCTTGAGGAGGCACTCTCACCCTGTATGCATTTTAGAAAAAATTCCCCTTTTGCTATTTCTATCCCAACTACTTCCCCTCCATCAAATCTTCCCTGTCCTTCCAGGCCTATCGTTGACCTTATTGGTGCCATGGAGACACAGTCCGAGCCCTCAGAGCTGGAGCTGGATGATGTTGTGATAACAAACCCACACATCGAGGCCATTTTGGAGAATGAGGACTGGATCGAAGATGCCTCGTAAGACATGCAATGTTCCTTCCCACATTCTCTTTAGAAATCTCTCCCTGACTCTGCTGCTCTTGTCCTTGTCCACAACACTGTGCTCTAAGTTTGGGAGCCCAGGCACTGCATTGAGAGCATGCATGTGCTTACCTGGAGCCACCTTAGTCAGCAGTGAGGCTGGCAGGGGGTCAGGTATTGGTCTGGCCTCAGGGGGTAGTGCTTCTTCTATGTATAGCTATGCCACAGGGCTACTGGATGACTTGGAACAAGTCTCTCTTCCTCTCTTTGGCTGTCCTGTTGAATTAAACTGCCAGCTGTTTGGGTGGGCACTGGGGCAGATCCAGGAGGAGATACAGTGATGCAATTCACCCCCCACCCCTTTGATTCCTGCTCCACCCAAACTTCTAAAGCCAGCTGCCTAGGAGGGACAGTAGTATACCTATTCAGGCAGTGTTGAGAGAGTCAATTGACTTCATGGCTCATTATCACCTCTCTCGTTTCTGCTAATCTCTCTCCACTCAACAGATGTTAATGACCCTCTATCCTTTAACTGTCTTGATATTCCACTAATCAAACTATCCTTTCTTCTGCAATTTTGCTGTCTGTTAACCATTCTTAGTAACATCTCTCTTCTATTTCACAGCTCTGCAGACTGTTTTTAGTTCATGCTAAAAACTTTCATTTGGATGTGGTAATATTAACTTAGGTGTGGAAGTGATTGACAGTGAAGTAATGGAGGCACTGTCAAGATGCTCAGGAAGGCTAGATTTTGTTTAACTATAATGACTACATGACTAATGACGTGCTATCTTTTGATTATTTTTTGCCTAGTTTGTTGTGTTTAGCATTATATATAATCCAGCAAATAGTGCACATTCCAATTGTTATACTATTGGTTCTTTGCACTTAAACTGAATAGCAAAGCATCTAGTTTCTCATGGAACAACACGTTCTTTTCAGTTCAGTGTGATGTTGTGTGACCAACTGCACCTCACTCTTTTTAAAATCCTAGATCTGTCCATGGGTGGGCACTCTCCCTGCTCCTTAAGTGTTGCTGTAGTCCAGACAACAATATTTTGGATCCTGATTTCCTGAAGGAAGAACCCTGGTGCAGGCTGGTCTGTGGGACTACTTTTGTGCATGTTGCACAACATGGTAGCAGCTATATGTTATAGAATCACAGAGAAGCAGGGCTGGAAGGGACCTCCAGAGGTTGTCTAGTCCAAACCCCTGCCTAAGGCAGGATCATCCCTATGAAAACCATCCCATAAAAATCCAAAATGTAAACATTTCATAAAACTGTCATTGACCCTAACATAACAGAACACGTAACATCCTAACCTGCCAGAGGTAAAGTAGGGAGACAATAGCAGTCAGTGCCCTGTTCTGTAAAAAGTTGTTAATATACGCTCAAGAGATCCCAGGTGGAGGGCCATGCCCCTGCTACAGAGGAAGGGCAAAACCCCTACACCCCATACCAATCTGACCATGGGGTAAAATTCCTTGCTGACCCAAATATGGCATTTGGTCTGACCCTGAGCAGAAGGGCAAGACCCTTTAGCTAGGAACCTCTGGCTTTAAGTCCCAACAGAAGCACTGGCACACCCTACTCAAAGTCTCCGGCCTTGGTTGCAGCCAAAACCCAGAGCCTCTGAGGAAGGCTTAAATACACATAGCTGAAAACTGTGTACACCAGAGGCATGTGAGGTTAGGAAGTGGGAATTTAATTTGCACCTACAAATACAACGGGACTCTGACAACAGTTACCTGTTCCCTGGTACAGTGCAAAACCATAAGGTCTTGCTTCTGACTCCACTGTCCTGTATTTGCAATGTGCTAACCTTTTATGTACGAGCTCTTGGTGAAAGTCACTCTAATAGACACCCCATATATGACTAACAAAGGGTAGGATCACAGATTCTAGCAACTGGCCATTAAATAAGCCATCAGATTTGTTCGTTTCAAGATCAGATGAGACAGCCCCCTTATCTAATCTCCTGCACAGCACAGCCCTGAGACCTGTAGGCAGTGGTTCTAGCAGGAAGACCACAACTTCTTATTGAGATCAAACTTTTACCACAAAGAAAAGTTCAGTCTCAATTTTTGTAGCTTTTCAGGGGGAGACAGTGTGCTACTATTATAGGTAAAGAAGTTGTTCCCCTGGTTGTTTCCCAGCCCTGTTAAAGGTATATGCCTTATTTTCAGCTGGGCCTCTCAGGGCTGGATTTTGAAGTAACATAATGAGAAAAAATGACTAATGTCTGAAGTGATTTCTGGTCAGTAGATCCCATGGTAAATGCATATTTGATTAAGTCTCCACCACAGGATGGAATGAAGAAAAGGCTATGACAAGCCAGACATCTTTCTTAGTTACTGCTGTTCTCTTTCTCCCCAGGGGCCTGGTTTCTCACTGCATCGCTATCCTGAAGGTAACTCATCCTCTCCAGAACTTTTATACCAGGAAAACAAAGCACCTTTGAGCAGGTTGCTTTGCCTGCTGGCTTCTGCAGGAGCTCCTCAGCCAGTCCTCCCAAGCAAAGCACAGCCTTAGATAAATCAAATCAAACCAAATCCTTTTGCCCTGTCCTAGACATGAGAAATGGAGCCCCTTTTGCTCTGACCCTACCCTCACAGCTAGCTAACTTGCTTGCTTGATTCTCTCCTGTGATCACTCTTCTGGGAGGGTTTAAAGTTCCCAGTGGGGCACTCCTTACTTATCCAAAGGCTGCACAGCTGAGCTTTCTCAACAGGGTTGACTGTTCCCTCTTAAAAAGACAGACTGCCATGTTACACATCTGTGAGTGTATCAGTTGTTGCCACTACCGAGTATGCAATTGCTGCTATGACATAAGTTTGTGATACGATTCTTATCTCACTCCTCCCAGAGACCCACATGCTAGAATAAATGAGTTGGTGTGAATGAGAAGAGGGGGTTGATTTACCTCCGCTATGACTAAACAACAGGCTGAGGGTTTACCTAGAATCACAGCCGCAGTCTCATTTCCACCATGAGCCTTTGTTGTCAAGCCTGAATCGGTCACTTGTCCTCTCCTCCTCTGTACGTAGATTTGCCACACTTTGACAGAAAAGCTTGTAGCGATGACGATGGGTTCTGGAGCCAGAATGAAGTCTCCAACCAGCCTGAATGACATCATTGTGGTTGCTAAGCGAATTAGCCCCAGGTGAGAGGAGAGGGTTTCTGGTGAGCTTGAGTCAGTAAACTAACAGGTAGAGGGGGAGCTCGGCCTGCAGTTCAGATGAACATGCTATCCCCAAAAATGCTGAACCTTAGCCAGTGCTCCTAATTAACAATGTGGATGAACTCTGCTTCACAGCATTACCTACCACAGGCATTCAGAAATCATACTAGACCCCCAAGTTCCTAAGGATGGTTTAAAAATTATGAGATTGTAATAAATAATAAACATCAAGTATCATAGTACTTAGGGTCAGAAGGGACCTAAACAGATCATCAGGTCTGACCCCCCAAGGTGCTTTGATTTGCCTCCTTGGTCTTTGTGGCTGTAGAGGGCATGTTTTCAGGACCTTCTCTGCAGCCGCTGCTGCTTAAAAACATACTTGATTTCAGTGGAAATGAATAGTCTCATGTGACTCCAGGTGCTGGGGCTTTAAGAAGAAAATACAAGAACTGGCAGCACTGGGTGACGTTTCCTTCCTGGCACACAGCTGGGGCTGAAATGATGCAAGGATTTAAAGATCAAAATCAACACTTTGGTTTTCAGCCAGCAAGTGGGAAGCTAATGCTGTCTGAGAGAGAGACAAATTGTTAAATGAGCTCAGGTTCTGATTCCCAAGGGCCCAGCACCAACACCTGAGGCTCCATACTTAAAACAGCTTGGGTCCATCTGGGCCTGGACTGTAAGTGACTGGATTTTTGAAAAATGCTTAGCTGCGGATGCTTACACGATTCCAAGTTTCAGAACCCTATTGCTCTCCAGCAGGACTTGTTCCTAAACCACTTAGATCTTTTTTTTTTTTTTTAAATCACCACCCCCCCATTCTTAGTGGGAGCTGCTTGGTGTGGGGCACTTTTGTTCATGGGGCCTCTTCCATTTACATGGCCAATGAGAGTTGGGATCTGCTGGAAACTGTGTCCCAATTGTAGATGTTGAGAACTTTTCCAG